GCAGCGACAGGAGAGGAAGAGGAGGAAGAGGAGCCAGTTTGTAGCCAGTTAATTAGTCAGTAACTGTTAACGTTATCCATCATCCATCGTATCGATCAGCCAGGATTAGTTTCAGTGAAGTTGGAAGTTATTTATTCAGTGTGTTGAACAAGCAGACTGTGTGGTGTTACACTGTGTTGCTGCTTGTTCGGATTCACAATCATTACTACTGGTTAACAGATTATAATCAATATAATTCAGAAACATTTGAGAATTAGTCGACTAGGACAATCTTCAGTCGGGGCAGCTCTATATCTGGTATCGGTTGTTGTCAGGCGGTAAAGTTGCATCGAGAGTACAAAGATACAAACGACAGTTGTTGTTGAGAGGATACAGAAGGACTCTGACTTTAATTGGACCACATCTTGGTCTGAGGCCTTTAAATTAAATGAGGTCATTAATCTGCGATAGATTAAACTCATAGAAATCAGTCCATACAAACAAGGAACAACTCCTGTACAACAGTTAGCTGGGATGTAACCCCACAGTTCAGCTGCTCTCGGATGCTAAAAGAAGCAGAGCGTCTGGTAGAGAAAGAAGGGCGTGGCCATACCTGGTCCCCTCTAGGACGCCAGCTCCTCCCACCAGCACCAAATCAAGGCCACTATTACAATCATTCCTATGAAGGGGATGGAGAGAACAGGGGGCTCAGACGGACGAGTGCAGTTCTGGGGAAAAGACAAAAGGTAGGAGTGTAGGGAGGCATGGAGAGATTGGTGTGGTAGAGAAAATAAAACCATAAAATAATCCGAATAATAAAATCAGAACGTGTCGGGAAGAAAGAGTGAGCGTGGAGCAAAATAATGGACAGAAAAATAGAAACAGATCGACAGGCAGCATCAAAAAACATCAAATTTATACAGAATTTGATTTGGTTGATCGTGTAAAGTTCGTGTGAAACGAAGGTTACAGATAAAAACGATGGAAGAAAGAGAGGAAACAGGAAGAGCACGCGTTTAGAGGACGACATCAAAGATGGTTAAAGACGAGATGGAGAGTTCTGACCAGAGTAAAGTTAACAACATCCACTTCCTGTCGTTTAAAGATCTCTGCCTTCAGCATTGGCAGCACTGCATTGTGGGTAACGGGTTAACCACGAGATAAACTACAACTATGGGGAAAGAAAATGTGAGAGAATGATTTAATGGAGAGGAGCAGAGGTTGGACCGACTCAAGAGCACAATCCCCAGTTTAGTCTCAAGTCCCATGTCAAGCTCCAAGCCTGGTCCCACATCGAGACAGAGGCGAGTCTCAAGTCCAGTCTCAGTGGGGGCCAGACCCACGTTAAGTCTTCAGCTGTGATACTCAAGTCCTGAGTTGAGCTACCACATCAAGACAGGTCAGTCCCCAGTCTCAAGTCAATCCCAAGTCAAGAAAGTGAACCCAATCTGGTCTCGAATGCTGATATTAAAGTAGTGGTGAGTCCAAAGTAAAGTTCCAGTTCAAGTCTCGGGCAGGTCTTATGTCAAGTGTCGACACTATCAAACCAAGATAGGTAGGATCCATGTTTAGACTCAAGTCTTAACATTCAGTCAAGTTCTAAAAGTTTCAAAGAACTCTAGTCTAGTCTCAAGCTCTCTCAAGTCAAGAAAGTCAAAATCAAAGTCCCAAATCAGTTAAGTCTCCAGTCCAGGACTAAGTCTTAACATTAACTCAATCCAACTCTAAGTCACGCAAGTAAAATTTGGTCTCAAAACTCGAGTCCTATGTGCAGTTTCAGGTTTGTTCAGGTTCTCATTAGTTGGGGATCAGTTCTCGGCTCTGTTATTGGGGGGCAACTCGTAGTTTAAGTCTTGGGGCTCAAGTCTCAGTGAAGTAGAAGCCTTTGGTGATCAGGGTTGGTACAGTTTGGGTTTTCTAACCGGTGCCTGAACCGACTTTAAAAACAAACAAGCACTAAATGACAGTTGATGTTAAATAACATTAAACTAACAACTTCAGGGTTGGGTACTGAAACCCTGTAAGACCAGGATCTACCGGACCGAATTATAATGATGGTATTTAAATACTTTAAGCTGAGTCCATCAGTAGAGTCTGAATGGGTGTTTGAGTCGGTTCCTCTGGAGAGCAGTGAGTGAATCAGAATCCAAACTGTGTTTGAATCTTTAAGGAGATGATCAGATCAATCAGTTGGACCTTCACTGTCAGTTACGCCTCACTGCTTTCTTTCTGTCTGATAGCTGAATGAACCTCTAACTCCCTGGAGGCTGAGCGGAGGAGAGAGCACAAACAGACAGATGACGGAAACAAACTGCCCAGCAGCCACAGAAGAAAAAGAAAACCAGCCACATGAGCAGAGCTACAGACGCCGCAAACCAGGAAGCACAATGACAGATGAGGCAACCAGCGAGCGTCAGCTGCGCCGCCGCCGACCCACATGCACACAGACGGACACACTTCATGGTACAAATCATGGATCGGAAGGATTTCGTCGAATAGGTTCCAGGGTGTGTTGGTCGAGACTTTCACCCTGAATGTTACCTGATACCTGATCTGATAAAATCAGGAATCATACAGGTGAACCAAACAGAGCCGTTGACCTTTGACCTCTCACCTGTGACTTCCTGGCCTTCAGTTTCTGTAGCTCGGCCTTGCAGCGCTGCAGTTCCTGCTCCAGCTCCACTCGCTCCCGCTGGCTGCTGTCGTACAGCTGCTGAAGCTCCAGCAGGTCGTCCTTCAGACCGTCGCACTGACAGAGAGACAGGTTGAAGCTCACTGACTCTATCTAAAATATAATCTAAAATATAATCTAAAATATAATCTAATATATAATCTATAATCTATATAATCTATAATCTATATATAATCTATATAATCTATATATCTGATTCGTTCATTACCTCTCTCTGAACTTTGTGAGCCGTCTCTTCAGTTTCTCTCAGCTGGACCTTCAGCACGCTGCAGACCTCTTCCTCCTCCTGGACCACCGAGGAGTCTGGATCCACCGAGGAGTCCGGATCCACCGAGAAGTCCGGATCCACCGAGGAGTCCAGATCTACCGAGGAGACCGGGTCCTTGGGGGGTCCAGACTGAGACAGGCTGATGTAAGAGTCGGCCTTCACCTCCTGCACGCGCTCAGTGTCGCCCTCCGCTCTGACTGCCAGGTACACATCATTAGACCTGCTGACAGGTAGTCCTCATGAGACGCTATTGATCCGTGTGGACCCTGTACTGATCTGTGTGGACCCTGTACTGATCCGTGTGGACCCTGTATTGATCTGTTGACCCTGTATTGATCTGTTGACCCTGCATTGATCTGTTGACCCTGTATTGATCTGTTGACCCTGCATTGATCTGTGTGGACCCTGTATTGATCTGTGGACCCTGTATTGATCTGTGTGGACCCTGTATCGATCTGTGGACCCTGTATTGATCTGTGTGGACCCTGTATCGATCTGTGTAGACCTGTAACAGAGGTGTTATTGATCTGTGGATGCAGGTTGATTGACAGCTGGCTGGACCACTCACGTGTCTCGTTGCTGCAGTTGCTCCACTTTGTTGATCAGGTCTGAGTTGAGGTTGCAGAGAGTCTGACGCTCATCCATCAGAGAGACCAGCTCCTCCTGCAGCTGACTCACACCGGCTGCACTCATTGATTATTGATTGTTGATGGTGCAGAGGAGAGGAGAGGGTTAATCACTAACAGATATTACATCACCAACAGCAGTTATATTTTAGGAACATGTACGGAGGCTCGGAGATACCGTGGGCTGCGGTGTTGTGGTCGTTGTGGCTTTTCATGCTGATCTCGGCTCTCAGGGAGGTGACCTCCAGCTCGTACTCCTGCGCCGTGGCATGGAGGCGCTGCAGTTCGGCCCGCAGCCGACACAGCTCCTCCTGCAGGGAAGCGATGTCATTCTCCCTCTCGCCCGCCGCCTCCTCTGCCGCCTGCTGCAGCACCAGCACCTCCTCCTGGGCCGAACGGAGCTCCTCCTGCACCTCCTCCAGCTCGCTCTCCTTCTCCTCCTCCAGGCTGTCCATCTCCTCCTGCACCGACCGCAGCTGAGCTGTAGGAGGAGGTGCAGCACATTTCAGATATTCACATTTATATTTTAAATGAGGACATTTTGGAAAGTTATACATTTTTTTGCAAATTCAAATTTTTTCAACGTTTTGGACATTTTTGGAAAAAAACTACATTTTCAGAAAGTTTTATAATTCAGGGCATTTGTTGGAATATGAAAACTTAAAAGTGAAGATGATTCAGTTTTCAAAAATTTAAATTTAAATAAACAATTTATTTGTGGAAGATAATTTACACAATATTAAAGTATTTACAGTGTTTACTGTAGTTTTACAGAGTGAAGTTACTTTAATATTGTGATACTGGAATTACTATCTGTATAATTTAACAGGAACACTGAACAACTGATTCCAGTTGTGATTAATCGATCAGTGATCGGTTATAAATAACAAGCGTCGGTACCTTGCAGTCTCTGGATCTGTCTGGTGAAACTCTCGGCCTGGTGAGCGCTCGCCAGCCGCTCGTCTTCTAACAGACCTGAGATCAGAAGGTCAAACACA